AAATAGCCTACTGGAGAGACGCACAGACGCAGGTAGGCTAATTCACACAGGCAACTGTCACCTCTCTCTCTCTCTCTCGAATAATTCATTCAAGTAGCTAAATGTTATAATCAATTAATTAATTCAAATAAATGTGATCTTACCGCACTATTTCATCTCTTTCTGATCTGAAGCGGGCAGAGTGCGGAGCTAACGAGCTGTAGCTTCGCGTGGTTCTTGCATTCACTTCGTGCATTAAAATCGTTAAACGTACAGCAAGCCGTGCATTATCCCTTATGTATTCGCTCTTTAGCAGCAGTTTTTTACAGCAATATTTAAATGACACCCTGGTCATTCTTGGTGTACCCAAAATGGTCCCACACTATCGACAAGCATTTCTCTGGTGGAAATAAAGCTTCGCTGTTTGGTCCCTCTGTCAGTTCATCTAATGCATGTAGTAGCCTCCGTGCCTCTGATAAGCACCTCATTTTAAGCTGGTGCACCGCTAGTGTAACTTTTTTCGTTTTGCGAAAGCTGCTACAGTTCCGTGTAACAGAAACACTCGGTTTAGTGGAACCTTTACGATTAATTAACCGTGACGTTTTAAAGCGCGGTTAATCGCTGCATCCCTAGCTGACTGTTTCTAAAATCACTATATATGGCATATGTTTTCTTAAGATGTGTGTTTTTTTAATTAACATTTTCATTAATTTCGGTGAGCTTGTCATAGGCACAGTATCTGTGCTGACCTGTCCATCCATCATTTGGGGTGGAACGTTGTCTGCACAGGATGTATAATTACAGTTACAAGGGATTTGCTAAGGTCTCGTCATCGGATGCAATTCACAACATGTTTTTTAAATGTCTGTTGCACACAGTAAGAGAATGTACTGCATACATTCGTTTCATAACATTGGCACGGCATGTCTGTGCTGACCTGTCCATCCATCATTTGGGGTGGAACGTTGTCTGCACAGGATGTATAATTACAGTTACAAGGGATTTGCTAAGGTCTCGTCATCGGATGCAATTCACAACATGTTTTTTAAATGTCTGTTGCACACAGTAAGAGAATGTACTGCATACATTCGTTTCATAACATTGGAACGGCATGTACAGAAGGTCTGCACATGTGTCACGTTATTTTATTACAGGTGGTCATAATCTTCGTCATCGTCACCTTCACGTTTGGAACAAGTGCTTGCGTTTAACCTGTCTGACTCCTTGTTTTGGCAGGTGTGCATATGTGACCGGGTTCAGAGATGACATCCCCATGGTGCGTGCTTGGAAACAAGATCACTGCTCTTGGACGTGCCGATCTGTCCAAACATACACACATGCCGCGCTCCGGCCTACTCTGTGTAGTGCTCTTCCCTGATGGCACAACCCAAAATTTTACTGTCAGTGTGAGTATAAGCGTGTAGGCAGATGTCTTTGGATTGTAGGATAAGCGAATATGACTGTTAAAGCCCTAGAGAGCGAGAAGTAATGTGCATGTGTTCATGAGCTTGCCTTTATTGGCAGTCTGAGGGTGGAGATGGATATTACACTGGTGCTTCTCTTCTCATGTTCCATATTGCACTGCTGCAACCTTGGCTTCATATTCTGAAGGACAGCCACCCACCCTCACGCACACACAGGCACGTTTGTCAGGCAGAAACAGTCATGAAGTCAACAGGAAATAGGATCTTATGCTAGATGATAGAAATGAGGGCAGTGGGCCTGAGGGCTCTGCTTGACAAAGGTATAGTGAGTTAAAATTAAATAGGAAAAATATTAAATGGGTATTATTAACATGTTGATTCATGTTAATTGATTCGTGATTATTGACAGTCATGACTGATAACATTGACTGGATAATAGAAGAGTTTATCTCTCTGCTAATTAAATTCCATAAATTTAATATTAGTTTTTAAATGCTCAATTTAATTTAATTATTTAAACTTAATTATGAATATAGTTAAATGTTATCATAATTTCAGCATGTTTGAGTACATCTCATTTGCTATCATTAAATAATTTTTTGAAAGAAATTAATTCTTTTATTCAGCCAAGAAAGCATTAAATTGACCAAAAGGGACCATAAAGGGACCTTTACAATATTACAAAAACAATTCTATCTAAAAAATCTATTTCAAATAACTTGTTCTTTTTAATCCTGAATACAATGTATCACCGTTTTCACAAAATTATTAAGCAGCACAACCATTTTCAACACTGATAATAATAAGTTTCTTGATCATCAAATCATCATATTAGTATGATTTCTGAAGAATCATGTGACACTGAAAAGTGGAGTAATGACTGCTGAAAATTCAGCTTTGTCATCACAGGAATAAATTCCATTTTAAAATATATGAAAATAGGACACAGTTGTAATAATAGTCACAATTGTTATGTTCGTGTATGTTAACCCTTGTAGAATATGGTCACTTTATAAATATAGGTTTGGTAAACTGGTACAATTCCTAATGGGACAGCATGTGTTATTGCCTTGCAGAAACATGATGCTGGTCATCTGCTGTTCGACTTGGCTTGCGAACACCTCAACATAGTGGAAAAACAGTACTTCAGCCTGCAGATCAGCGAGGACACATCCAGCTCTCCGGTAAATGAATGTGTGGCTGCAAAAGAGCAAGTGTTTATCGCTATGACCCAGAAATAGAAAAAAGTAATGGCCTGTCTTAAGAAACATGATGGTTTCAGTAGTTGAACTGAAAAAACTAAATCTGTCATTTCAGAGGTGGCTGGACCCTAACAAGCCCTTTAAGAAACAGCTGAAGGGTGAGAGAGAAACTACACACACACACACACACACACACACACACACAAAGGCCCACCTGAAGTCAATATATAATTTTTACATTTGTGGTGGAAAATCAGATTAAAATCAGGTCATTTAATTTTGTATGCACTTTTTTGTTTTGATTTTTGATGCCCTTTGCCGTCATTTAATGTTCACTTAAAGTTGCAGCATTTAAGATGATTCCTTTTTTAATCAATTATTTTTATTTATTTATTTCGACAAAATAATATAGCATTTTAATATTGGTCAGCTATAACAAATATTTTTAAAGAAATGCAGTTATAATAAACACAAAGAATGGATATATAGAATGCTGTTTGAATTCTGGGGAAATCTGCAGGGCTTTCTGCAGAAGGTGTGTGGAATCAGATTCCATGCGGGCATAGAGTGCACATGTTTGACGAGTTATGTAATAGGAGCACAAATAATTTTGTTTCCTTTAAAAGCGCATCAGGAGACACATGTTTGTCTTCTCATGAGAATTGGAGGTGGCTTATTTAAATCAACTTACTTGAGTCATCAGAATTGATGTGCATGCAATAAGGCACAGACGGTGATTGCAGCTCACGCTTCAGTGCCTACCTGCTTTTTTTACTTTAAATTATGGTTTAATAAATTGCTTTAGATTTCTGGGGAATTGCCAAACCTCAGTTTCCTTTCTTTTTTTTCTAGAAATACTATAATACTGAGCTTCAATGTAACTCTGATCAATGAATTTCTGTTGCTTGCATTTTTTTTTGAGGTCCTTTTCCTCTGACCGTGTCCCTTGCTCTCTCTCTCCCACTGTTATTCCCTCAGGTTCCGCTCCGTTCTTTTTAATATTTAGAGTGCGGTTCTTCATCTCTGACCCAAACTCCCTCCAGCACGAGCAGACCAGGTACATATCCCTGTTTATGTGCAAATGAGATAGAAATAGATATATATATATTATTTATATGAATTGATTGAGAGGTTTTTGACCCTTATTTTGTTTTGCAGGCATTTTTATTTCTTGCAGATTAAGAAGGACATTTGTGAGGGGAGGTAAATATTTGTTCTTTTGCACCCACGCTACCATTCAAAAGTTTTGGGTTGGTAAGTTTTTCATTTTTTTAAAATACATATCTTATGCTCACAGAGGCTGAAATTATTCGATAACAATGCAGTAAAAACAGTAATATTGTGAAATATTTTGACAATTTAAAATAACTGCTTTCTATTTTAAATGGTAATTTATTCCTGTGATGGTAAAGGTGAATTTTAGCAGCAATTACTCTAGTCTTAAGAGAAAGTTATATCAAATTCTAACTGATGCAGATGACACCATAAATGTTTTCATGTTAGGCTAATAACCGATAAATAAAAGGTATTATAAATGTATACCATTTATGAGTAAAACCAGTATTTTTTATGCTACAACTGAATTTAGGTATTATAACATTATAATTTACACTATGAAAGAAGGATAACTATTAATTTATTTTGAAAAAGATAAATTGTTTAAATGATAAAATATAACCAATGTACTTAAGAGGCATTGTATATAGTATTTATTTATTTTTGTATTGTTTTTATGAATTTAATGATCAAAAATACCAGCATCCCACATCATTATAATACATGCAGAATGCTGGTTACGCAGTCCTTGAAAAACTGGTGATTCTGGCTAGAGGGGGATTCTGGCTCAGGGAGTTATAACTCTTGGGTTGTGAGGTTGTGTATGGTCTGATAAACATACTATTGTGTATAAGAATTATAATACACTATGGACATTTTCACCCTGACAATTAAATACCAAATATTTAATATTGACAAATACTAATAAAAAAACAAACTGATGTCACAACCCTATATATTGTATCCCAAAATATCATGGTGTGTTTTTATTGCAGATTAAAGTGTCCTTTAAGCTCAGCCGTGGTACTGGCTTCTTACTCTGTTCAGTGTAAGTTGTGGAAATTACACCTTCTCATATTGTGATTGGCAGCCTTGCCATAGAAACATTATTTATATTGCAGAGGATGTGTCTGTGTGCTTGTAGGGGGCATGAGTCTTCTCCAGGAAATAGCTTTGGTTAATGGCACTGATAAAATTGGAGATGACTGAACAAAGCACATACAATCACTGTTTCTCAAACGTAGCGTTCTAATACTCCTGTTTGATTGACAGCTGAGCTTGGAGACTATGTCCCTGAAACTCCTGCCGGATACCTCAGTCAGACCCATTTTCTTCCTGACCAAGATCAAGAGTTCCTTCTGAAAGTAGAGTCGCTGCATCCACAGCACAAGTATGTCAGCACATACATTCATACACACACACACAAACACACACATCTATTAATTGTACATGTCTGAATGTGTTTCAGAGGTTTGTCTCAGAGTGAAGCTGAGCTTTGCTATTTGAATACAGCGAGAACATTAGACCTGTATGGAGTGGAGCTACATCATGCTCAGGTACAATGATTTGTAGTTGAAGTTGAAAATCCTCTGTTTTTCCAATTTCTTCCAGAATGTTAAGGAATAACGGGTAATATTGTTTTATAGTGGATTATGTTCATAATTTATTTAATTATATTTTTGAAAACCCTATTTATAGGATGTGAACAATCCCGCCCTCTGGGTGGGCATTACGTCTGGGGGCGTGGCTTTGTTTTGCCATTTAATTTGCTCCAGTTTTTTCCCCTGGTAAGTTTTGGCCAGTCAGATTCTTTCTTGAATGTTTTTGCTCACTTTATTTGTAATTGCATATATGCTTGATGTATGTTCTTTGTAAAACACACTTTTTAAGCATCTTACATTGATGTTTACAGCTGTTATGAATGATGTTTGACAGTGCTACGGCTCTGTTTGTCAGAGCTGTGATTATCATTACAATGGATGAGATACACTGTAGAAAAGTATAATTACCGCTATTAGTGTAATTAAGAGCCCTGGAAACAGTATCTCTTATTTTGATTCTGGTGTACTTTAACTTTTTGAATGGCTGCTTTTTTTTCAGGATTAACATCATCAAAATTTCATTCAAAAGAAAACGGTTCTTTGTCCACCTACGCCGGAAACATGTAAGATATGCATGATTAATCATGCTCGTCCTTCAAAACAAAAGCAAAATAATTACCATATTAAAGCCAGACACTTAATGCTTCAAAGATGTTGAATACTGAAAAATCAACATCTTTGTGTGAGACTTGTGTTGTGTTCTTTGTGTTGTTTTATTTTCTCATTTATATGTGTGGTACAGGGTGAGCTGGGTCACCATGTGATTTCTCTCTCCATGCCAAGTTCACGTGCCTGTAAAAATCTATGGAAATCCTGCGTGGACCACCATACATTCTACAACAGAAAACCCTCTCACTCGGCTTCAAAACTTAGGTACACAGGCAGAGTCATGACGGAGCCATTCTAAGAAATTACTGTGTTTTTTATTGCTGGAGTTAATTAGAGTTCATTGCTGCCTCCACCAAATGAGTGTGTGAGTTGAATTGCATATATTTCTGTTAAAGCTCTATCCCACTGTACCGAAAGCTGATTGGTGAGAAAATGTTGAACCCTGTGGTGAGGTCCAACTCAGTGGAACAACTAGAGACAAAGAGTCTACCCTCACGGTCACCACCCAACACGCCCAACTGGTAACAGTGCTCAAATACACTTGAATACATTTAACTTTACAGTAATGGATTAGTACATTATAATACATTAATGGATGAAATGTATTTGTACTACCATTCAAAAGTTTGGGGTTAATATTTGTAAAATAATACTTTTATTTAGCAAGGATTCTTTAAATGGAACAAAAGAAGTTTATAATGTTAAGAGAAATGGTATCAGGTCAATGTTTTTAATTAATTGTTCTTTTGAACTTTCCTCTCATCAAAGAATCCTGAAAAAAGGATAACATTTTATCGAAATAATAAGTAGCATAACTGTTTATATGAAATCTTTCTTGAGTATCAAATGCTTACTTGACTGTTTCTAAAATCACTATTAATTCCTGTGATGGCAAAGCTGAATTTTCAGCATCATTACTCCAGTCTTCAGTGTCACATGACCCTTCAGAAATCATTCTAATATGATGATTATATAATTAATTACATTTTAAAATGTATTAAAATAGAAAACAGTTACTTTTAAATTTGAATAATTTTAGTTTTTTTTAAATCACATAAATGCAGCTTTGGTGAGCATATAAGGGACTTCTAAAACATAAAAAATCTTTTGATTGGTAGTGTATATATAAATTTTTTGTATATATATCACACATACATTTTAAACAATGTCTTATAAGGTTAATATAAGGAAAAGTTTTTATAATAGTGTGAATATATCTTTCATTTTAGGCGGAGTCCTCGTTTACGTCATGACTTCCGTAAGCCACGCCCATCATCTGTGGACAACCTGACCGATGAAATGAACTATGTGACTGAGAGTGAAGATGTGTTCTATACTTACAGGCAAATTTACTCTACATATACAAATACACACAGTCTTACAGCCATACATATGTATTCAACAGTACACTCAAAGTAACTTATTAAAACTGATTGCACTGAAGGAAACCTCAGGAGGAGGGGCGGACGAGTGGTAGTTGGTCTCATAGTGATATCGTCACCGAAGAGGATGATTTGCACATCTGGGATAAGGTGAGTGTTATTGTACATGATAGCTGATGATGCAAGATCAAGGGAAATGTCTTTCACAACAGTTTCTGAACTTCAAAGCTTCTTTGCATATCTTTCCAAAGGATCATTGCATCAAAAATGAGTGGTTGGAATGAAGAAGTTCCCTGTGGCTCATTTCAGTGCATTTCAGTGCAGAGTGTGGATGGTTGTGATTGATGGATGGGGCAGTTAAAAACTATATTAGATTATGCGGAAATGCAGCAAAGTATTGTTATTTTTTCCAGGAGTTATAGAGAAGTTTTTTTTAATAAATTATGGTGCAAACATAAATATATTTGTAATTTAAATAGAATTTTTGGTCCTAAAATGGACTTCATTTTTTAAATTCTAACTAAATATCCCAGATATGTTCTTGACAGGTGTCAGGAGAGTCATCCTGGAACAGATTTAAATCTGTTATCAATTGTGATGTGGTCAAAACTGCTTGATTGGGGCAGTCGTGGCCTAATGGATAAAGAGTCAGACTTGTAACCCGAAGGTCGCGTGTTCGAGTCTCGGCAGGGATTGTAGGTGGGGGGAGTGAATATTTAGCACTCACTAAACGACTGAGATGACGACATCTTCTTCGTCAAGATGACAAGAAACGACATCTCACCCACGACTGAGATGAGCCCGAACCCCCAACTGCTCCCCGGGGGCTGCAGCATTGGCTGCCCACTGCTCCGGGTGTGTGTTCAAGGATGTGTGTGTGCACTTGGATGGGTTAAATGCAGAGCACAAATTCTAAGTATGGGACACCATACTTGGCCACATGTCACTTCCTTTCCTTGATTGGGTTTCAGAAAAGCGACACGCGGTATGCAACAAAAGGCACAGGACCTAAACCAAATGTCCGAGTCCAGCATCAGGGCAGTCAGCTGTCAGAAATAATATCCAGTGTCAATAATATCCATTCTGACAAATCCAAGCAGTACACTGATACTACAGTCAGGCTGATGATTCACTGAAAATCTATCTCACAGCTCACAAGACTAGGGTATGAAAAAACTTTAAAACTACAGTGGGGTCCAAAATCTGAGACTGCAAGTTTTTTTTGGATTTCGGAAAACTAAAAGTTTAGAAAATTTTATGATGATGTGCTAATTCTAGGGCACAGTTTTACCATTGAAGCACAAGTTGCTCTTTGGGTAATTCTCTACACTCTTAAAAAAAAGTTTTTGTCTAAATGGTTCCATAAAGAACCTTTAACATCTGAAGAACCTTTCTGTTTCACAAAAGGTTCTTTGTGGCGAAAGAAGGTTCTTCAGATTATAAAAAGGTAAGAAAGAGATGGTTCTTTAAAGAACCTTTGACTGAATGGTTCTTTGCCGAACCAAAAATGTATTTTCTATGCCATCGCTGTGAATAACCTTTTAAGCACCTTTATTTTTAAGAGTGTGATCATGCTGGAGAACACAAACTTGAGTTCATGCAACTCTGCTGCTGTCATTGAAGAAACAAGGACATTTTTTATTAAATAGAATCTAGTACTATCAGTGTGCAAAACAGCTGAGAATGAAGCTGTCTACTGACAAAAGAACAACAATATTCTGAGGTCACGTTTGAAGCACTCAGTTGTTGTTTTTATTATTTGCTGTTGTGAAAAATGTCTACATATATGTTAATATGTCCTTATTTTGTAGCTAGACTTCAGAATCCTCCATTTTCTTATCCTCTTCCTGTCCTATCTGCTTTAAAGGGTCTATTTTTGTGGTTATATGTACACAGAGTGTGACCGCTGATGGAGATCTGCTACTTGTGAGGATCAGCCCAGACCAAGATGGGAAGTTTGGCTTCAATGTTAAAGTGAGTCGGTTCACAATATGTATTTATCATCATTGTTTAAATTGCATTCAGATAGAGTTTTGTGTGGGAGACCATGTATCAGAATATTGTTGGCTAATATTCAGGGAGGCGTGGATCAGAAGATGCCCCTGGCCATCTCTCATGTTAACCCTGCATCTCCGGTAAGCCATACAAATCCTTTCTGCTTTTGAATATGAATGGGTTCTTGGTTTTTGCATTTGTACAAATATTGACTGTGTTGCAGGCCAGTCACTGTGTGCCTCCGCTGATGGAGGGCGATCAGGTGCTGTTGATAAATGGGCGGGACATTTCAGAACACACACATCAGCAGGTAGTCATGTTCATCAAAGCAAGCCGAGAGTCACACAGCAAGGAACTTGCATTGCTTGTGCGCCGCAAAGGTACGCTTTTTGTTGATGTGCATGTGTGCAAATATGATTTGAGGGGAATTAATTGGTTTAATTTGATCATTGATGTGTCTTGTGCATTTAGCTTGTACATCCAGAAACCACAAACAGCGTTTGTTTACAGGTGTCTCTTTGCGAGTCGAACCCACACTACAGTTAGGTGAGGGTCTCGCCCTTCCGGGTGAAATATCCCCACTGTCCGCTCAGCCATCTGGAGAGACACTAGAGGAGTCCATGACCCGTCTGGAGAGGGGATTGGTCACCGGCACATTGCTTCTGCACTTTGAGGTTGGGGGATGTGAATATTTTACAGCATGTCTCTGTTGGCATGTGTGTGCACTGCTGATAATTGTCATCCGTGCATGTGTATGTGTGTTTTGCTACTCACAGAAGTTGTACAGGAAGAAAGAAGGCATGTCAATGTGTTGCGCAAAACAGTCTGAGAATATGGACAAGAATCGGTACAAAGATGTATTACCATGTAAGTTTTATTGCTTTTCCTGATCAAAATTTATCACCTGCTAAATTTAATAAATTGTGGCCTGTTATGCCTATATTCACAATATAGCTCACTTATGGTGTTATTGCTTGAAAATGGTTACTATTAGGGCTGGGATGATGATATAGATTTTTTGATTGTGTTCAATCTTAATATTGACAAATCGATATTGATTCTTAAATTACAAGATTGATTTTATGCTGAAAATTGACAGTCGGTCAGTTTTGTTATGAAATGCGAACAATAAATGTTTTGATGTTCCTAAATGTGTCTTGACAGTTTGCTGTAGTGATCATAAAAGTATGTTTTTATGACCAGTCACCATTTAAAAGTTTATATTTTAAAATTATCTATTAAAATGTATCTAAATGAAACTGAATTGAGATTGGATTAGGTCATTGGATAGGTTAAAACCCAGCCCTAGACGCACATTAAAACTTCAAAATATTTTATTAAGAGACATCCTTCTGCTAGAAAATATAGTACGTGACTTGTACACTGAGGTTAGTAGACGGTCTCTATGAGTGCTTTAAAGTGATAGTAGAGTACTGTAGCACTAGCAACGGCAAGGTCATTAGTTCGATTCCTAGGGAATGCATGATAAAGTGTGAATGTAATGCAAGTCACTTCAGATAAAGCATAAATGTGACCCTGAACCACAAAACCAGTCTTAAGTCGCTGGGGTATATTTGTAGCAATAGCCAAAAATATAATGTGTGGGTCAAAATTATTGATTTTTCTTTTATGCCAAAAATCATTAGGATATTAAGTAAAGATCATGTTCCATTAAGATATTTTGTAAATTTCCTACTGTAAATATATTAAAACTTAATTTTTGATTAGTAATATGCATTGCAAAGAACATCATTTGGACAACTTTAAAGGCAATTTTCTCAATATTTTGATTTTTTTGCACCCTCAGATTCCAGATTTTAAAATAGTTGTATCTCGGCCAAATATTGTCCTATCCTAACAAATCCTAACAAGCTTATTTATTCAGCTTTCAGATGATGTATAAATCTCAAATTCGAAAAATTGACCCTTATGACTGGTTTTGTGGTCCAGGGTCACAAATATAAGCTAGGTGAACATATGCTTTGTCATTGCTGTGACGATATTGTGTGCTGAAACAAATCCATCATTGTGTGTATTTGCTGTTACACTATTTGGTATTGACCAATCAGCATCCAGAACTGTATGTTATGTTGGGTTGAGAGCTCAAAGAACAATTAAAACTTCAAAAAGCTCATTAGAAAGTTCAATAGAACATTTGAAAATTCAAAACGATTTTTGAGGGTGGTTGTATTTTACAAGAAGAGAGTGGTTGCTGGATGACCATGATGAGATTGAACTAAGCTACCATATTGGAGTAGATTACGGGCCGGGGTAAGGTAAAACATATCATTTTATTCATTTGTGTATAAGCTTTCGATCTGAAAATGAGGCGTAATGCTCTTTAAAACTAGTCAGAGGAGGTGTTTTCACATAATCCTCAAATCCCTCTTCCTCATTCAGATGACATCACCAGAGTGGTGCTGCAGGAAGAGGGAGATGATTACATCAACGCCAGTCACGTGAAGGTATGGATCACTACTTGTCTGTCTCGTTTCTATTCAGTTTTTGATTTTTCTAGTTGTGAATGGTTTTAATTTATGGCTCTAGATGACACTGATGACTCCGCAATGTGTGTGTGTGTGTGTGTGTCTGTCAGACTGAGCCAACAGGTTGTGCTTTACAGTACATAGCAGCTCAGGGTCCACTGCCACACACCTGTACACACTTCTGGAGGAGCGTGTGGGAGCAGAATGTCAGTGTCATTGTCATGCTCACCACACTGACCGAGAGAGGACGGGTACATCAACACATACACATTAAAACAGTTAGAACTACACAAATAGTTACACAGTGTGCTGCAACATTAATAAACATGAACACTATACACACATACTCAAGACAGGAACCTACTTTTACGCCAGAAAAACTCTTAACACACACACACAGAACACCTAATCAGACGATACCCATCACACACCTCCAGTCCCCCAAGGACAGCTTATTGTGAGTACCGTATTCTTCGGCTCGGCTTGACTGTTGCTTGGTAACTAAGCGCTCTGCATTCTTTTCCAAAGGGATGATTTAATAAACTCTGTGTGTGAGGGAGGGAGAGAGGGAGCACAATTGTGTATGTGTGTATTTTTTTCTATGCTCCGTAATCTCTTTTAAATTTCCACAGACCAAGTGCCACCAATACTGGCCACATCCTCCTGAAGTGAGGGATTATGGGTATCTTCAGGTGTGCTGTCACTCAGAGGAGTGTAACCTGGCATACGTCACTCGAGAACTAACACTCACAAATACTCAGGTAACACCGGACATACTTTTAAATGGACACGACCTCTGTTAGGTCCAGTAGAAACAAACAAGAGCTTGTGTAATCACTTAAAGTAGCATATAACACTCATAGAATATACAATTTTATATACAGGTATACAATAGCAATTAAAATGTGAGTTTGTGGCTTAGTGTACTCATGGGTTGACAAAATGCACTTTTAAACTTTACAGTCTTTCTCCTCTGGGAAAGGGAGTAAAAATGTTGATGACTCATCCGGCACTAGACAGATTTTTGTCCAAAAACATGCTCTGTAGAATGAGGAAGTTCCTCCTCCTAGTATCCCTTAGCCTGTATTCGGCTCAACAACAACTACTACTATCAGCATATTGTTAGTCTTGTACTGTTGCTAAATTCAGAACCATGTACTACTCTTACTGTTTCTGCCATAAAACAATGTGGTAAATTGTGAGAATAGTATGCTTGTACGTGGTTCCGAATTCAGCATATATCTTTCTAAGAGAAAAACAGCATGAGTAGATTGCTAGACACCAATCATGGCATAATTCTATACTAGTACTACTAGAATGTAACTTTAACTATTCTTATACCATATATGGCAGAAATGCTTTTGAGTAGTATGCTATAAAGTTAGCAGCTAACTATGGCTGAATTGAATTCAGAATAGCACACTAGCATATTGTTATTTTTATACTGTATCTTTATAAAGGAAAAATCTTATGTGCAGTGTGCCAGAATGCTAGTCATAATCTATGGATGAATTCGGGACAACATACTAGAATATCACTTTTACTTTTCTTAAGGCTGGAATACACTACACAATGTTTCCCTGATTTTCCCCCGAATTACAGTCTGGAGAAGTTGTCGCTAGTTGCCGAAAGTCAGAGCCAGTCTGCAGATTTGAGTTCACAGATTTCATAGAATATCGTGTAGTGTGTGATTGTCACAGATACTGTCCTATCTAAATAAAAAGGCATAAAAGGCCAAAAATGAATCTTAAAAAAGTAAATTCCTGGTAGTGTGTGATTCTCAGCCGTTTAGTGTATGATGGCCAGTTTTCCCTCTGTGACTATTACAAAGTCGGCAAGTTTATGATGCCTAGTGTTTTAAAATATGTTCAGGTTTAAAGCCTCATGAAATCAAAATTGACTTTATTTATTTTGTTAGCGCACACTGCTAGTCTTGAGGTGAACAATTAATCCGTGCAAGTTAATCCACTGAAAAAAATTGTTTGTCATGGTAATCTTTAATCAAAATCTGAACATTTACTTCCGCTCAGGAATGGCATTCCTTTTCTGATGATGTCAGTTTGATGGCTTGTATTGTATTCCAGCCATTCGACTATATATTGCAGAACTAGGAAGAAACAAAAAGAGTAAATTAGTAAGAATAAATAAAGTATATACTAAAATACTGAATAGGTATATGTAGCTATATGAGGAAATAGTAAGAGTATATACTAACTTTGCTTCTCTATATATGGCAGTATATATGAGGAGACAAGCAAGACTAAATAGTAATAGTACAAACTATTATTATATAGCTATATGAGTAAATAGATTAACTATTCTAATGCTAACTATTCTTATATTAGATATGACAGAAATAGAGTATACAAGTAAAAAGTAAATACGAAATAGTATGAATATAGCATATGTATACAAGTAAATAGTAAGAACATTTGATTCATAGAACATTTGAATTTGCAATATTATACTATTCTTACTATTTTGCTATATCATGGGGGCTTTTTAATCTAAAAAAAAAAGTTTTATGAAATTATGCACAGCTGTATGCATGGTCAAGATGCTCAAGAGCCATTTTGGTCCCTCAGTTCATGATTCTAGTCTTATTTTTGGCAAAATTCTGTTTCTTGTGTAAATGTTTGTAATTACTCATGCTCTGTCAGTCCCATTATGCTGGTGTTTAATGTTTCATTTAAAACAGAATTTTAGCTTTAGGCGTGTTAATGTGAAAGCTTCTTGTGTGTGAGAGAGCATTAACGTGTGGGAGCATTTGTGTGCGATGGTAAATATGGCAAACGGGTCACGTACCGCTGTGGTCGAGAGCACGGGACCGTATACATGTACATTCACATACAGTACATGCTCACACACTCACAAACAATCTATCATTGCTGGAGAAAGGAGACCCATCTGTTGTCTCTGTTGGTGGGAGTTAATCTCAGCACGGACAGCAGACGGAGGTTACATCACACGTTCGTCGTCTATATAGGGTGTGTGTGTGTCTCAGATGAAAAAATAAAGAAAAGGAGAGAGGAAAAGGATGATTGGGGGGTACAGGAAAAATGCCAGTGTGTGAGTGTTCGTGCCACACAGCCTGCGAACCAATTATTCCTTTCTGCCCGATTTGTCACAATAAATGAATTATTTTTTCCACTTTGGCCTTCAGACTGTGACTCACCTAAAGATCACTTCTTCTTCTTGCACTCACTTATAAGATCATGATAGAACGGAGAGGCAATTTGAAATGTCATTGTATTTAGGTAATATGGAGTTGAAAATGTTTTAAAGAATGACATCAACCTGGGCCTCGTTTATAAATCCCATGTACCATCTGACTTGATCCTAAATTTCATGTTACGTCAAAAGTGAGGAACATTCTGGATTTATAAAGGCAGAAACTGATGTGAAAATGCATGCATACCCACTTATAAGATCATGATAGAACGGAGAGGCAATTTGAAATGTCATTGTATTTAGGTAATATGGAGTTGAAAATGTTTTAAAGAATGACAGCAACCTGGGCCTCGTTTATAAATCCCATGTACCATCTGACTTGATCCTAAATTCCATGAATTTCATGTTACGTCAAAAGTGAGGAACATTCTGGATTTATAAAGGCAGAAACTGATGTGAAAATGCATGCATACAAACTTTTTGTGCTCATATGCCAGTAATTGATGTTACACTGATTATATAAAAACATGTAGTGCTTCCATTCTAATAATATTTCCTATAAATATCCTTCTCCATAAGGCAAAACACAGGCATGCTTAGACTTGTCTGCTTTTATACGTACTCATTCAAGCATTCTCTTGCACTCAGCCTCACCCTCCTTTTTTTTTCTTTTTTTTGTTACAGTCAGGACAGCAGCGCTCGATCACTCATTTGCAGTATGTCGCCTGGCCAGATCATGGGGTACCAGAAGATTCCTCAGACTTCCTGGATTTTGTCCAGTCAATGAGAAGTATGAGAGAGGAGTCTGTGCCTCTCATGGTCCACTGCAGGTGAGGGGACTTCCAGCACACAAAAGACACAGATGTTATCAGGTGCTCATTTTACCAAGAGAATGTTTTTCTGCAGTGCTGGCATCGGGCGGACGGGTGTGTTGATCACCATGGAGACAGCCATGACACTGATGGAGAAGGAAACGCCAGTGTATCCCCTAGAGATCATTACCTTGATGAGAGAACAGAGGGCCATGCTGGTTCAGACATCGGTACAAACACACACACAGACAATACGCACAAGTTAAAGACGTCATTTGGCACTACCAAAGAGAGTTTCAGAAGTTAAAACATTCTCTCCATAGATAAACCGATTGTTTGCCTCAAACTTGTACAGATTGGTTGAGCCAATGCTACTCTGTTCAGCCCAGCTGGGCTGGTTAAAAAAAAAAACACTTTGCAGTTTCTTTTGATGTGATGCAGAAAATACATACTTCACCTTTAATTACGTATTCAGTTAGAACATATCTTCAGATGAATTACAACAGCAGTGACCCTTTACACTTAGCTCAAAGGACATGCTGGTTCAGACATCGGTACAAACACACACAGACAATACGCACAAGTTAAAGACGTCATTTGGCACTACCAAAGAGAGTTTCAGTAGTTAAAACATTCTCTCCATAGATAAACCGATTGTTTGCCTCAAACTTGTACAGATTGGTTGAGCCGATGCTACTCTGTTCAGCCCAGCTGGGCTGGTTAAAAAAAAAAACACTTTGCAGTTTCTTTTGATGTGATGCAGAAAATACATACTTCACCTTTAATTACGTATTCAGTTAGAACATATCTTCAGATGAATTACAACAGCAGTGACCCTTTACACTTAGCTCAAAGGACTCACACTCATTAAAAGGGTTGGAAAGATGGACATTTAACAAAACTTGTCTGTCTATGCAGTAGAAACCCGAAAAATTACATATAAAGAGGGCAGCCATTTTCACATTAACTATGTGAAAGGGTCCAATGAGATCAGTCATGGTGGTTTGGATGTAGCATCACACCATGTATGGCTAAAATGGCTTTTAAATATTCATCCACTGGATCAAATGGTTTAATATCTTAGATTGATTTTATTGGATATGCCGACATTACTTGTGCTCTGTGCATGTTTGTTTTTCAGTGCCAGTTCACCTTTGTGTGTGAGGCCATTCTGAGGGTGTACAGAGAGAGAATGAAAAAGAGCTCAACACCTAACAGTTGATAAGAAGAGAGGGACAGGAGGGGAGTGTTCGTAAGCACACAAGTGAAGGAAGAAGCTGTGATCCAACAGTCAATAACGACGGATGAAAAAGGGGCAGGGAGTAGAGGGTCTGGATAAAGATGAATGGACAATCTCTTCTCTTGCTGTGGCTCTCCTGACAGCTGTGCGGATCAAGGAAGAACATAAAGCATTTTCACACATATAAGCTTATAGGGCCCTACAGCACACATACTCTCTTTCTCTGTCCCCCACACACACACACACACACATACCCCAAGAGCTATATTCAGGTAAATCTCACAAAATCTGTCAAGAAATGTTCAGGTCACATTTCACCCTAAAATTAAGAGGAAAAACTATGTAACTCTCATTGTGCATAAAATAAAAATGTAAAAGTAGATCTAAAAATCTACTTTTAGAATATTTTAAGTTTTTCTCTTTTTGGAATTAATACATTATATTCAGAGCAATTAAGCACATTTGACTCCCCAATTCTCATTACTACATTAATCCCTTTGATATTGTCTTTTTTTATTGCAGTATGAATGACAGTATTGTTATTTACTTAAAATCAATCCATTATAAAGGCTTTAAACAAATGCTGCCATGATGAATAAATAGCCTACTTACAAAATGTTCATATCTTTTTGTTTTTCATGTCACAATAATAAAAACTAGACTTTGTAATGAGAAATGGGGGGTGACAAGATGAGCTTGAAATGTTCTGAAAATTGTGCCAAAAAAATCACAATGGTAAACTTGCGTTAAAAAAACTAACTATAAGCTACATTCTTTAAATATATATATATTTCCTTTTGATTTTGAGGATAAAGTGTGACCTGTACGCTTCTTTTTGAGATTGACCAACCAAATCACTACTAGAATAATTAAATTCACCTCTCTTAATAAATAAATAAAATGTGTAATTCTTATCACGTTGTGCCTCTTCTATTATTCATGATGGGGAGGAGGAGGGGCTTGAATGAGCGTGCGTGAAATGCTGACGATTGGCCGCATATCGTTTCCTGATAGCGACTTGACGCACTTGCACCGCGCAGTATGAAGGATGCTTGATTTGTAGTCGTTGCTGGGGAATTCAGTGATGGTAGCTCTCGTGAAGGTAAACTCGCATTGACCACGGTTTGGCTTACCAGCAGGTAGCGCTGCCTCGCGCACACTGACCCGAAGAGGGGAAAAAAGTTTTGAGTGTTGCTCTGAGATTTAACGCTTGCGCAGAACAGGTTGCCTGGCCAGTTCCTCTGGTTGACTTACCTGAGAGGTACATCAGTTTCGGTCAATAACAGAAAGGAACTAACCCGCCGTCATTCCGGCGAACGCGAGGAGAAGTTCAATTAAAGCGCAATTCTTATTCAAACGAGTGAAAGGACCGGAGTATCCTCTGTTGTTTTTGGCAGGTGCGCTCCTGTTTTCTAGCCCGTACGCCACGAGGAAACGGAGCTCGTGACAGGTCGCCGTTTCCCGACTTGTCCCCGCTGCATTGACCGGCACCGTCCGGTAGACGCCGCCTTTCTTCGTCGCGGGAAGCCTGGGAAACAGCTGGATGCCTTCCTCTTGAGCGGTCCGGTATCGGTGCCGTTTTCCCTGGTTGATTAAAGCGCTGTCTCGCGGGGAAAAGATGATGGGCTTTCTGCGCAGGACGTTTAGCCGTCGGTCAAAACGACGCTTTCGGACGTCAGACGAGCTGGACGGGACCGGCAGAGGCGGAAACGCGGTGCTGCAGGCGCACCAGCAGCAGGTGATTCACGCGCCGATCGTAGTGACCGGGGGAGCCGTAGTCCACATCCCCGCGGCGGGCAACAGCAAAGACGCCATCACATGCAGAGTCCTGCTGCTGGACGGATCGGATGTCAGTGTGGAGTTACCGGTGAGTGGAGCGTTTCGTCAGAGAAAAGTCACCTTGGTTGCTTTGAATGTAGTGCTTAACGGCAAAGTTCGGTTTTAACAGCCTGTCACTGTGTGGCCGGCCGGATTTCCCCGGTGTTGGGTCCTGTCCCGGTAAACAGATGGTGCTCGTGCTCCCGTGCTCATGTTTACTTCCCACCTATAGCGACAGCTCAACCTGTCACACACAACCCTGCAGATTCCCTCGAGCTCTGGGAGCTTTCGCTGAAAATGAAACAACCTGGGAGAAAAACACGAGGAGTTCCCCCAGCTCCAACTTTCGTTCTCTCCCTCTCTCTGTTCAAGTGTTTTCCAGAAATGATTTCCCATGTGAGGTCGACGAACCAGTTAGGAGCTTAACCTTTGGTCCCTCTTTTGCAAGTCGCGACATGTAATGTCGATCACTTTCTGACTGACGCTTCGTCTGTTTGTAGCTCAGCGTCTTGTCAGTTCACTACTGAACGTCTCTTTTTAACACTAGACCTTCTATTTAGAGCGTGGATTTGAGTTATATCCAAGTAAAATCCATTAACTTACGTTTCGGACAAAATGTACAGATTGTATGTTTTTTTTCTCGGAGCATGAAAACATTTCCAAAGAACCCAAAACATTAAGCTCTGTCACCAAGCAACAGACAGAAAGCCTGTGTCTTAAGAATTCGAATCTTTCCTCGAATTTTTCTCCAAGTACAAAGAAACAAAATCAAAATATGTATATAGTTGCTTAAAACAGTGATTAATATAATAAACTGGACAATGTAATTTCCTTCACTTGACAAACTGTTAATAAATAATAATAATAATTAACAAATAACTGAACATTATCACATGGTCTTTTTAAGAACTGAATTATCTGGACAGTGTTTATGTGAATACATGTAGAATAAGCGCATATGTGTAGTGTATAAGCTATTAGGTTACTTTGGAATTTGTATGCTATTAATTTAACTAAAACCGACATCAATGCTCCTCATAATTGTAATCGATTGCTTAAGTGACAACCCATTAAAAGTTAGGATAGGATCGCATGATCAAACAGTGTATGACAGAGTTCTAGACCAAAAACAATGGCTGCATCTAAAATCACATACTCTCTGAGTAGGCACTTCTCTTGAATTTAAGTACGCACTTTGTGACTGTTAAAAATGTAATTTCTATATAGTATGAATGTAATCCAAACAATACCACCAGACTAACGTAAACGTTCTCGCCTCTGCGTTTGTTTACTTGCGCAAAATACATTTCTGGCCCCAATCAAAGTGTTCTGTAATCACTCGGCTTTAGCTCACTCCACGTTTTTTATTTCCTCGTTGGTGAGAGAAACCCGCTTCGAGCGATCATGAAGCGAAAGAAAACACAGATGCTCCTACTGTCAAAAACCTGTTCTTCAGGCAAAATCTGCTTCCACACCACTCTGGTCTAGAATGCCTGAACATAGATAGACTAATTAAAATGATACAAAAGTGTGTCAAAGAATATCAGCACTCTTGGAACGCCTCTGGGCCAATCAAATTAGAGGACTAGAACGATTACACAATTACATTTAATGGTGAATATTTCCTTCTTTCAATATAAGCCCTGTAAACACCTAAAGCTTGTGGCGCACATCACAATATTATTGTTTTATATTTCAAAGACAGTTTTGCTGATCGTTGGTTTATAAACATGGCTGTCATAGTCAGGCAATGTTATGCCATACAAGTCTGAACATGTCAAAGAATTTATAAAAAAGACTTTTGTGTGTAAGTACTTCAGCATAACAAATCATGGATCCTTTTGATTTGACTATTACCAATGTCATCTGAGTTTCAACCATCTAACCTGATAATCAGTATAGTTTCAAAAGTTGATCAGTTTAGTTTTATTTTTAATGCAGGACTATTTTGTGTTTATTTGCAGATATTGGCAGTGAATAGACCTGAAATATATGTCGATTTATGTATGTTAAGGGTTGTAGGTCAACCTGAACAGCAGCAAGTATCAAAGAGAATAATAGCCACCACCCCCCTCAGGGTGTGTCCCAAATCCAGCCACTCTCCTCTGACACTTCAAGCTATTTTTGCTCCGGCCTTGGTTTGTGTGCAACTTATATACAGTATGAGTGTGTGTTTTCATCTGTCTTTTAGATTAAGTCTATGTGCCTTGTGGTACTCTTATAAATGTCAAGACTATTAGACAAGACTATTTATCAAGACTAAATGTTAGCACAATAGACTAGTACTTTCAATTGAAAGACAATAAGTACATTGTCTATAAATGCTTCAGGTCATTGTATTGTAGTATTCAGTATGTTCAGGCAAGGCAGCTGGACTTGGTTTTCAATTGTATGTCTTTTATACGTTTCACAGCATACAGTATCAAGCTCATACAGTGGCTCCGAAGAAGTATTTGGACACTTAAGCCACACTTGTCACTTCATTACATGACAAAATCAACTCAAACCAAGCGGAATTTAAGCAAAGTTATTAAAACTAATATAGGTTAAATGTACACTACTGTTCAAAAGTTTGAAGTCAGTAAGATTGAATGTTTTTGAAAGAAGTCTCTTATTGCTCACTAAGGCTGGCAAAAACACAGTAAAAACAGTGATATTGTTATATTAGAGTTTTTTTTATTTAATGTTTCAAAATGTAATTTATTCCTGTAATGGCAAAGCTGCATTTTCAGCAGCTGTTACTCCAGCCTTCAGTGTCACATGATCCTTCAGAAATGATTCCATGCCGAGCTGGTGCTGAAGAAACATTTCTTAATATTATCTCTGTTGTAAACAGTCGTGCTGCTTAATATTTTTGTGGAAACTGTGACATTTCTTTGAGGAATAGAAAGTTCGAAAGAACAAGTTATTTGAAATAGAAAGCTTTTGTAACAATAGAAATGTCTTTACTCTCACTTTTAATCAATTTACAACATCCTTTGTGAAAATAAATATTAATTTCTTTGAAAAAAGTAAATAAAAATCTTACTGGCCCCCAAATTTTGAATGGTAGTGCAACTGAGAAAATGGCTTAGAAAATTGGAGGCCACTTATATTAGCAACTTATTTAGCATTGTCTTTGGAGAACTCCAAAATAATGTTGCATTTAATTGACTAAATTCTTTTAGTCTGTAGAGATGCTGATTCAGGATACCGAGCACTGTGATTGGCTGAATTCCTCTCAGGGAATACTTCTCCTCATGCTCATCTTAACAAGGAGCTCCTGCCATTTCCATGGCCTATTCTGATCATGTGCTCAGTCCTTCGCTTCACAACATCCTCCAACCAACAAAAGAAATCAATCAAGCTCCATAAAATGGAACAAATCAATAACTAAATTCCAAATTCTCTGTATTCGCTGAGAGTTTTTGATCTCAGTGGAATGCCGGCCTTGAAAATAAACTGACCATCACAAAGCAGAGATTATCTCCAGAATAGTTAGAGTTTTTCCTTTGTGTGTCCTTTTGTGGTCCCCCTCATCTAGACCCTGCATGAAATAGAAAATACAGACTTTTGATCTCTCTTTGGCCATTGTAGGTGCTCGGGGATTGTTATTATTCATCAAATGGCTTTGTAATAAGACTAGGTTTTGGACAAAATATGGAATACTTGCAAAATATTTGAAATTATTTTGCTGGCAATTTAAAAATTAACCATGAATATTACAACAATTCTGATGCACTTTTTATTCAGCTAAATAAAGTACAGTACAGTATAAATAGTAATACTGTGAAATATTATAACTGATATGGTGATTATCAGTGTAGAAAATAGGTTTGCTGCTTAATATTTAACATTTTTATATATTGATTCTTTTGAACAAAGTTATATAGCATTTACTTGAAAAAATGTTTTACTATAATTTTTGTA